CATGATGACAGGAACTAGAGAAGCTAGTGCTACTCCTGGAAGGTTCCTGTTAGGAGCTTAGAGGCAGGATTTCTTTGGTACAGTTTAAAGTGATTGGTTCAGCTACTTTTCCCAATTCTTGAATGGTGCTCAGGACAACTCAGGCTTTTTTTTTTTTTTTTTTTTTTTTTTTGACAGAGTGGACAGCGAGAGAGAGAGAGAGAGACAGAAGGGTCTTCCTTTGCCGTTGGTTCACCCTCCAATGGCCGCTGCGTCCAGCACGCTGTGGCCGGCGCACCGCGCTGATCCAATGGCAGGAGCCAGGTGCTTCTCCTGGTCTCCCATGGGGTGCAGGGCCCAAGCACTTGGGCCATCCTCCACTGCACTCCCGGGCCACAGCAGAGAGCTGGCCTGGAAGAGGGGCAACCGGGACAGAATCCGGTGCCCCGACTGGGACTAGAACCCGGTGTGCCGGCGCCGCGAGGCGGAGGATTAGCCTAGTGAGCCGCGGCACCGGCGACAACTCAAGCTTTAAGGTATTCACAGTTTCTGTCCTCAAGGAAAGGAGCCGTAAGTGTTAAAGTTCCTACCTGGTTAGGTTTAATGGGTCCTGTCTTGCAGGGTGGAGAAACAGGAACACAGAAGGAGACTAAAACAGAGGCTCTGCTCCTCGGTTGCTGTTTTTTTCTGGCTCCAAACAACTGCATTGGGTTTTTGTTCAGCTAATACCAGGCTGAGGATAAACAACAACTCATTCTCTCACGGGTCTTCATGCTGGTTGGTGCAGAGTATAAATAGTGTGTTCACTGCCAAGTTCTAAGGAGAAAAAAATGAGCAGGAAGCGAAGTTGGGGGCTGGGAAAGAACTGCGATGTCAGATCCAGTGGCCGGGGAGGGTCTCGCTGAGAACAGCGGGGAGAGACCAGGAGGTGGGCGTGGGAAGTAGCAACTTCAGCTCAGCAAGCAGGGGAATGGGTCTGCTGAGATGTGTGTGTGCCTGCGGGAAAGGAGCACTTCAGGCAGAAATGGCTGCAGGTACGAACTTTGTTTTGTGCAAGTACGAAGTGGTAGAGGCTAACAACTTGCTGGATTCCCTCACCAACCGAACCGGCCACTTGGAGGACCACTCAGTAAGGGAGAGGTCAGCTCAGTCATTTCAACTGATAGAAGTTTAAGGTGGAAAATTCGAGAGACGAGTCCAAAAAAGAATGCCCAGGCAATTTTACCCTAGCCTTCAGTTTTGTTGTGCCGCTCTGTTTCATTTAACAAATACTTACCGAGTGCCTGTCTCGTGTTTGCAATATGTCGGGCCTTGGGCAAATGTCCGCAAACAAGAGGCCTGTCGCCGACCGGACAGCTTACAGGTTAGCAGTGAGCAGAGACCAGCAGCCACCAGGGAGGCCGTCCTGCACAGCTGTGGGCAGCATGAGCAGGACTAGGACACGTCCTTGCTGAGGAAGGGAGATGTTGTAGCTGAGACCTCAAGAATGGGAAAGAATTACCCAGAAGGAGGAGGGGCCTTGGGGACTGAAAAGCTGCTGTGACCAGAGGGGTGTGAGGAGACGAGGCTGGGGTGGGAAGGGGTCCTGGGCCTCAGGCCAAGGTTAGGCTTTTGGGTTTTTTTGTCCCCAGAGCAGGGAGAAGCCATTCCAAGTGTGAAGCTGGGGCCTGCGGTTACTGAATGTGTTGACTGGGGAGAGGCGATAGTGGATGCAGGGGCTCGGGTGCGGGGGTGCTGGTTTGGGGTGGAGGGGGCCTGGTGGACCAGAGAGGTGTGCAGGAAGTGGTGGCGGTGCATCTGGGGAGATGGGATGAGTTCGCTTTGGGCATCCGTGTGCCGGAGGAACTTAGGTGTCGTGCTGAAGAGAAAACCAAGCTTCTTTCCCTTGTGTGTCTTCACTGTGATGGAGTCACCACACCAGCTAAGTTAAAGGTGCAGTGTGTTCACTGGTACGTTCTAGAGAAAAAAACGCAGGAAAGGGAGACAACCGGAGGGCGGCCGGAAAGGGAATTAGAAGGATGATCTCATTTAGACAGAAGGATGATGAGTTTTGGACTTGGTGAGGTTGAGGTTTCCTATGAGATCTCCAAATGACGGCATTGGGGGGTGCAGGGTGGTGTGGAGGGGTCACTGGAAAAGCAACGGAAGCCACGCAAGCTGAAGAGGTAGCTTAGGGGGCAAGTGCAGGGTGAGGAGCCACAGCACAGCTGCCCTGCAGCTCGGCAACTGGCAGGGAAGCGGCCGGCAGTTTCACCACAGCACACGTTTGCACAGGGCTGCGGGCCGAGGTAGCTGTGCTGGCACTGCCACGAGCCCTTCCTGGATGGCATTCCGGTTGATGCTGCTGATAGCTCTCATTCAGGAGCTGCGCTACCTATCAGGCCTGAGCCTAACAGCTTACCTACGCAGTCCCCTGAGTGTTGAGAATCCTATGAAGCAGGTCCTGTTCCCACCCATTTTACAGATGAGCAAACTAAGGCCAGCAGAAATTCAGAAATGTGACCCAGGTGGAGTGGATGATCCAGCTCAGGTGCCCTGGCTGTGGGACTCAGGCTCTCGCTCACACTGCTGCCTCACTGGTTGCTAGCAGCTGCACCGACCGTCCTCCCCCCTTCAGAAACCTCTTTTCCTTAAAGCCTCTTGCTGGCTCCTAGCGGCGGCTTACAGCAGAGGAGCTCGAACACCTATGACATGGCTCCATTCCTGTTGGTAGCCTTGCCATGCGCAGCTCTGCAAAGGTGGCTCCAAGACATCTTGGGATTGGTGGGATGACAAAGGGCAGGAGGACATGGTGCCCTAACAAAACACCGTAGGCCGGGTGGCTTAAACACAGAGATTTTTTTCCCACAGTTCTGGGAGCTGGAAGTCCACGATGGAGATTCTGGCTGATTAGCTTTCTGGTAAGGGCCCTCTTCCTGGTTTGCAGATTGTCATCTCACTGTATCCTCACAAGGCCTTGTCTTGGTGTGTGCATGGAGAGCACGTGAAGCAGCTAGCTCTCCAGGGGCTCACCTGTAGCAATTCATATAACCTTAATTTCTTACTCTACACACAGCCATTCTGAGGTTAGGGCTTCAACACAGGGGTTTTGGGAGGACACATGCATTCATTCAGTGGATAACATTGCCCAAATGTCCAGTCATCACATTGGAGTCACCACATTGGAGTTCTGCATATCAGTAGAGGGCAGCCGTGAACTTGGCCATGTCCCTACAGCTCGGGGAAAATTGGATTGCGCCCAGCACGACAAAGAACTCGTTACTGCCCAGCTAGTCCAGCACTGTCCTAGCAAAGGCAATGCGGTTACTTGGGTTCAGAGTGCTGGCAAGCAGAACTCTTACTGACTTCTGGATGCCAACTTCATGCAGTATTTATTCCAGAAACATCTATTTAAAGGGGCCCTGTAGAGCCATCAGAGAGCTGCTTTTCAAGTTGTGTCCACCTTTGCAGTTTGTGGTTTTAACCCCTTGATGCCTACACCAATCGTCGGGGATTCTGGGAGCCTCCTGGGTCACTCTGGCCATAGCTGATGGTGGCTCAGTACAGGTGTCTTCTACTCCAGTCGGCCTCTCATGTTCTCCGAGAAGGGACCAACCCTTGCATTTGTTTGTGGCCACAGAAGACAGTGGACCTTCGAGTGCATCCAGTGGGGTCAGCTTCATCACCAGTGCTCCCCAAGCTTGCAGCTCAGGTTATGATAATAGCTAACATTCGGGCACTCCCTTTGTGCAAGCATTGTGCCAGCATGTTAACGATTACACTGTTTAACATACAACCCGGTGGAGCTAAGTAGTGTAATTCACATTTCAGAGATGGGAAAACAGGCTCCGACCTGGGAAGGGATTTGCATGAGACCACACAGCCAGTGAGCGAAGGAGCTGCGACTCCACACCAGACAGCTGGGCACCCTCCAGTGCTGGGCTTCTGCACATGTGCATACTGCCTTCCTATCTGCCTCTGGGAACGGGTGGTAGAGGAATCCTCTGCACCGCAACCGTGTCCTACCCCTACAACCGCCAGGCCACGGCTGAAGGAAGTTAGGTGTGCCAGCCAGGGACTCTGCCGTTTCTCACGTCTATCCCCATCTCGTTCTTTGTGCAATCAAGGTGCATGCAGATTGGCTGGGTTACCCTGAGTAGACTGCAGAGGGTCAGCTCCTTTCCCAAAGGCCAAGCCATCATGTGGGGGCTGATCACAGCGCTGGCCCCCAGGGTCTTGCCTGGCCCCTGCCCCTTTTCATGGCTGCGTGGGGTGGGAGCTGGCGGGGCAGAGGGGAGGGGAGTGTTGGGACTGGTTAGGGAGAAGTGGGGAGCCTGGGCAGTCTCTTCAGCCACAGGAGTGTTCAGTGGCCTGTGTGGCCAGGGGCAGGAGTCCTTAGCTTTCTACCCATTCCCGAAGCCCAAGTGAGCTCCTGTGATTCGGGACGACTGGGTTAGACAGGCTGCCGAATGCATTCAGTGGAACCTTCTCTAACCTCCAGTGCCCCCATGAGCCAGGTAACTCCAGAAACTATTGTAAACTCCCATGAAACAGACTCCCTAGAATTAGGTCAACCCTGCAAATGGTCAAGCTTATCACAAACCTTTCTAGACCCTCTCCAGTTCATTGAAATACCTGCCACCGCTGCCACCCCCAACCCTGAGCTGGATTTAGTCATCCATTCCCTTCCTGCAGAGTTCCCCAGGGTTGCCTGGCGGAGAGCCCTCCCCCACCCCCCACGTTTCTGACCATCAGCCCTAACTTCACCAGGTGGTTCTGGCCAGGAATGGCTCTGGGAGCCAAGGGGAGGCCTCCAGCTGGAAGCAATGCCGTGCAGAGCCAGGGTCAGGCAGCAGGTTTCCAGACAGCCCTGCAGAAACTTCCCAGGGCAAGCGACTGCCCGACGTGGAAGCCTGGAGGGGAGAAGTACCGCGAGACTGACCTGGGCGCCTGGGCCGCGCGTGGGTCTTGTCCTGCTCCGGCTGCCAGCCCTTACGCCCGTTCCAAAGCGGCGCAGCAAATGACCAGAGCGTGGTCGGGACCAGGGCGAATTCGGTGAGCTTTTATTGTGGAAACCTCGCCCCCGGAGAAGGGGCGCGAGAATCCCCAACCGCAGCCCCACAGGGGACACCGACCGCTTCTCCCCAGTGCCTGCAGAGGGAACTGGGCTCCTGGCTCCGGGCGGGACCCGTTGAAACCCCGCGTCCCATCATTTCCCCAGGGTGGGCACAGCCGCCGAGGGCCATCTTTCTACTCGCTCAGATCCCGGTGGGGTCCTCACTGCCGAGGAGCGAGTAGCCGCGGGGAAACGGCCAGGAGGTCAGGGAGTCGAGACAGGTAGCTCCGGGCCAGTCGCGCGCTCGTCGCGCCTGCCCCTTCCGTGTGCGAAGTGAGTTAAGTCAGCGGGCGGCCGGCAAGGCTCCTGCGCTCGGGCAGTCGCGCCGTCCTCCGGGTTGGCTCCCCGACTGGACCTGGGGTGTAAAGACCCAGCCCGGGAATCGCAGACAACGACCCTCCAGGAACTTGGAACCCGGCCCTGCGCAGCCTCTGGGAGCCTCGGTGCCCCGGCCGCTCCAGGTCGCAAAGGGTCTTTGGGTCTGGGCGCAGCGTTCCCGGAGGCAGCGACCCCTGGCGTCGAGCCCTTTCTGCCCGGCTCGGGCTCGGCGAGGACAGATCACCGGGCCGCCGCTACACCGGCCGCGTCTTCCAGGGCGCGCGGGCGTCGCGCAGCGAGCGGTCGTGGGGCAGCGCGGCGAAGGCCGAGTGGCGCAGCTGGCAGCCGATGAAGAGGACGACGAGCGCCACGGAGAGCAGCAGCAGGAAGAAGAGCAGCAGGTAGGTGGGCAGGTCGGGCTTGGTGGCCGTGCCGTCCCGCATACCGCGCGCCGTGGCCAGCTCCAGCGGCAAAGCGCCCTCTGCCTTGACCGTGGCTCCCAGGGCCAGCGCGCCGCCCACCGCCGCCTCGGGGCTGCCCGTGGCGTTGAACAGGTCGCCGTACATGGCCCGCGGCTCCCGCCTCACTTCGCCTCGCGCAGCCCGGTGCCTGCCAGCGCCTCCATGGCGCTCCCCTCCCACCCGGCTGCGCGCCACTGACCGGAGTCGCTACCTTGGGAGCAGCGGGGCCGCAGAGTCCTGGGGACGCGTCCGCTCGCTCGCTCGCTCGCTCTCTCGCCTCAGTGTTCAGCCGCCTTCCCCGCGGGGCGGCGGACCCCAGCGCTCAGAACTGGACAGCTCCGGGTCGGCGCCCCTCGGGCTTTGCGTTTCTTGCCAGCGCCCCCAGGACCGTGGGCCAGAGTCAGCGGGTCGCCTCGCGGTCTCCCGGCCGCTCTTTCAGCTCGGACCCCAGGTCCGGGCTCGAGGAGCCTGGGGGCGCGGCAGCGGGAGGTGGCCCTGCTTGGCGCCGGGACGCAGAGCGCACCGAGCGCGGGTGGTCCGGAGCCCGGAGCCCGCCGCCCGCCGCGTCCGCCGGCGCAGCCCTGCAGCCTCGGGTCCTGCCGACAGTCCCGGCGCGCGGCGAGCCAGTCCTGAGCCGCGCGGCGGCTGCCTCGGGTCTGAGCGGGAGGAGGCAGAGCTCCCAGCTGCCGGGCGGCTCTGAGCGCGCTCGGGGCCCGGCGGAGGAGGCGGGGGGGGGGGGGGGGCGCTGACCCGGGAGCCGCTGCGAACCAATGAGGGCGCGAGAGGGCGGCCTCGCGCCGCTCGCCGACGCCGGCACCCAGGACGCGCAGGGCGTCCCAGAAAGGCTGCCCGGCAGAGGCACCGCTGCAGATCCCTGAACTCCAGCCGAGGCGCACCGCGGGGCTCAGTGAGCACCGGCGCCTGCTTCCTTCTCCAGCACGGCCGGGTTGGCTCCAAGTCCCCGCTGGTTGCCGGGTAGCGCTGGGCCGCAGGTACGCGGCGCGAGCTCACTTGCGCAGCAAACCCCGCTGTTAATGCTTGGACGCAGAGGGCACATGGTGCTGGGGGTGACCACCTACGCTGGGCAGCCCCGTCAAGCCTGGCGGCGGTGCACAGCCAGTGGAACTGAGGGGTGAGGGTGCGTGGGCAGCGTGTGCTTTTCCGGGAGTCCAGTCTCCTCACTTCCTGTGAAGCCGCCGAAGCCCCCGGTGCAGGTGCAGAATGGAACCCCTGGCCTGGGCCGCCCCAGCCCGTGCCCTGGACTCTGCAGAGTCAGGACGGGGAGGCCTGCAAGGAGTCCAGGGAACAACACAGCGGACACCGGCACCCCTGGCCCTCCTCCCAGCGCTGTCGCCCGGTCTCTTGTCTCAGACCCTCCCAGGGTCCTCCCACGTTCACCTCTGCGTCCCTGTCCACCTATTGTCCGCTGCCGTCCAGGACTGAGTCCCTGGGGGAGACTTCGGGGGCACTGGCTGGGGGAACTGTGGAGAGAGGAGGCAGGCTGGGCGTGCCAGGCTGGCCTTCACCAGAGCTCCTTCCCACACCAGCTGCTCAGCCCAGCAGGGACCCTCTGGGAGGTGTTTGCTGACTTTGAAATCGTAGTCCCAGGTCCTGAGGTGCAGAAATACTCAGAGGCCTCCCTCGGGGTTTTCCACTTTGGCTCGAAGAACACAGGCCTTGGGGAGCCTGACTGTGTGAGCAGGAGGCTGGGGGCAGGACCCAGCGCTGAGACCCATCCCAGAGGAGCCCAGCGTGTCCACAGGCGCAGGCCCCTGGCCTCCCAGGCCTGCCTGCCTGCTTAGGCACACATGTGGGTTTCAGCTGGGGAAGCCAGCTCAGAGGGGCGGGGTTAGCACAGGGCGGCCCCATAGGCGGCAGCAGCAGCAGCAGCAGCAATGGCAGTGGCCACTCAGGAAGGGGCGTGCACCCTCTCTCTGAAGATCTGACCTAATTCAGACAGCGCTTTTCTCGGTCAGCAGGCTCCTCGAGGACCCTGTGAAACCAGAACAGGCCTCCCCGGCACTGTCAGCCAGGGGGAGGGCTTTCACTCTGGTAGGGGCCCTGCTGTGGGTAACTGCTCAGCCTGGCCGGGGCTTGGATGCTGGGCTGGGCTCTCTCGGGCTTGGCCTGGCGTTTCCTGGGGTCTGTCTGGGCTGTACCGCGGCCTGCATGCCCCACTTCATGGCACCATGCAAGACTCCCGGCGGTGGCTTGGAGGAGCTGGGGCTCAAAGCTGGGCCCCGGGACTGCAGAGTCCATGCGGCAGGGCAGTTCCAGCAGCTACTGGCCATAGCCCCCTTCTCCTTGCCAAGCCCTGGGGAGTGCTTTGTCCCAGCAGCTGGTGAGAGGTGCTGCAGTCACCTCCATTTTCCCAAGAGGAAGCAGAACTCCAGCAGTGAGGTCACTTGCCAGGGTGCGGGGGGCACAGCTGGGTGGGTGCCCCCTGGTGCACACCCCCTCGGTCTCACGGAGGCGCTGGCCTGCCTGCCCTTTCTGGTGGCCCTTCGGTCCTCGAGTGCAGCGGCCACTGTTTTTTTGCTGAAAGATGTGCAGAGCCTGGTGGGGCAGTCACGTGCCCTGCACTGCCCCGGGCAGGAAATGAAGCAAGGCTGGCACTGAGTAAATGTAGCCACGAAGTTGACACAGCTTTTTATACACCCGCGTGACCTGCCATTAAGGGAGCTTTGTGTACCCATACATTTACATCTTCAGGAGAGATTATGAAAGGGGGCTCGGAGGTCGGCTTTGACAGGCAGGGGTCACAGGGCTGGGGCCTCGCAGTGACCTCTTTCTCATTACGTAGTTGTCTCCCGTGGCACATGCGCCTTCCGCACTGCCCGTCTGTGGCGAGGATGGGGGAGGCGCAGGCCTCTTTCCTGCCACCGCAGACCCATTTGGAAGCTGTCTAATGGAAACTTGGGATCCAGGGGGCATCGGAGCCCCAGGGTTTTGCAAGCTGTGCCACACACCGGCCTGTGGCGCTTGGTGAAGCTATTTCTGTTCCTTCCACGTGTGTGCGGGGAGATTGGGATTCGAGCACCTAGCAACTCGGATTGGCTAGGGGTAAAGGTCAGGGGCAAAGAGCGGGGGTCTGAGGGCTGGGGTTCATTGCTGCTGGAGTGGGAAGTCCACGTGGACCCCAGGGTGGGATCAGCCTGCGGAACGAGTGCGGCCGCTGACCCTGCTCAAGGAACTGTCCTCCACCGGCACCCACCCGGCACATGCTTTTTTTTTTTTTTTACAGATGGCTTTGACAATCATAGAGATTGGTCATCTAAGGTTACATTTTAGGATGGTTGCTTTAGGAACTAAATGCAAGGGAACTTCAAAACGTTCGTGGAAAATAGAATCAAAACATGTTTTTTTCTTGCAAAAAAATTTGAAATCCGCACACAGGTTTCCTAACATGCATTTTCCATGAACACTTTCACAAGTAGCCCAAGCTCGTCTGTTTCAGGTTCTGGAGTGAGGCGGGTTTCCAGAGAGAAGACCCCAGGAGGCTTGGAGAACGCTGACACCAGGGTTTGCCAGGTGGCTGTAGTTTGGTCAGGGGAGTTTGGCGATGGGAGAAGGGCCAAGGGCGGAGCTTGCAAAAACCTCAATTCCCGGTCCCAGAAAGGATGTCTCTGGCTCTGCGCTCTGGTCCTGCCAGCCCGCAGGTCTCTGGTGGGGTGAGGCGTGGCATGGGGTCCCTGTGCAGCAGCAGAAGAGGGTGCCGACCTGGCCCTGGGCCTGTGGGCTCTGACTGTGCTGGTGGTTGGCTGTGGGGTGCGTGTTTGGGACCAGGTCTCCCCACTCCCTGCTTGCTGCCTCAGCATCTTTCTCTTTGATCCCGCTGACACACGACCTTGCCTGCCTCCCTGGTTCCTTTAACTGTGGCCTCCAGCCAGGTGGGTCGCAGTGACCGCAGGCTTCTGGGCTGCTGTGGCTGACCGCGGACTGGCTGTTGGCCCTGATGGTTACCTCGTCTTCTCCAGGAAGGACAGAGGTGGGCACAGTGCTGAGGTTGTGGCCCTGCTGCCGCCAGGCCCATCCGGGCGTTTGTGGGGAGTCGTCGGTGGGCTCTCTGCATGTTGAGGGCCAGACCACTGCTCTGGCTGAGACCTGGGGACAGAACCACACGTGACCCAAGGAGCAGGGGCTTGTTCTGTGGGATCAGTGGACGGGCTCAGTCCGGCCTTACATCCCTGTACTTCGGCAGGAGTGCCTGGCCCAGGAGGCTGTAACTACGAGGGGTGTGGGAGCCAGAGGGAGGCCTCCGACCCCCCCACCCCCGCCAGAATGGAGCTGCACAGCAAGGCAGGGAGCGGGTGTGCGGAGTCAGGTAAGAGGCCCCAACCCGGGTGTGGCAGCCGTGGGAGAGCTGCTTCAGGGAACGGATGAGAGACACCAGGAGGGGTTTGCTTGTGTTCCAGGCTTGCATTGATTAAAACTGGCTGGGGTGCAGAAGTCCTCTAGGTGGTGCCTGGATAGGCATGAAACCAAACCACGTGCTGACAATGTTTCTTTCTTTGTAGCTATTTTAAAATTTATTTTATTTATTTTAAAGGCAGAGAGAGAGAGGGCAAAAATGCCTTCTACCACAAATGCCCACCAGGCCAAAGCCAGGGGCCTGGGACTCCATACAAATCTCCCACATGAGCGGTAGGGGCCCATACCTGAGCCATCCCCTGCTGCCTCCCAGGGTGTGTGCATCAGCAGGAAACTGGGATTGGGAGTGAGCCTAGGATGCAGGCATCTCAAGCAGTGTCTTTTTTTTTTTTTCTCTCTCTCTTAAGATTGTTTATTTTAGAGGCAGGGTTAGAGTGAGGGAGCGACAGAGAGGTCTTCCATCCACTGGTTCACTCCCTAAATGGCTGCAACAGCCAGAGTTGGATCAATCCAAAGCAGAAGCCTGGAGCTTCATCCACATCTGCCCCATGAGTGCAGGGGTCCAGCCTCTTAGGTCATCTTCCACTGTCTTTCCAGGCCATTAGTAGGGAGCTGGATCGGAAGTGGAGCAGCTGGGACACAAACAGGTGCCCATATGGGATGCAGGTCTTAACCTACTAAGCCACAGCTCTGGGCCCCCTAGCAGTATCTTAACGACTGCCCCAAACACCAGCCCCAACAGAGTCTTTTAGTTATGCTGATCATGGCGAGAAGTGTATGTTTTATTATGGGGCTGTGTCAGTTTGGGTTCTCCAAGAAGCATCCGTGCAGTGGGTTGATTTGTATCTGTGATGGGCCAGAGGTGCAGGAGCAAGGGGCTATGGGAGAGCCTGTGATGGAGAGGAGACTAGGAAGAGGGGTGCAGTGAGAGCCCCAACAGAAACCACCCAAACCAGGCCCCGGGGATCCTAAGCAAGTGCTGCCTGCTCATAGTCCCCACCGGGCTCACTGTGCGCAGGGTGGCGGTGCTGAGCCTGCTGGCCAAGCCAAGGCCTTTCCACTGTGGAGGCTGGGGCTGGTGGCCCTTCACAGAGCGTGTTGAGTCCTGGAAGAAGGGGCAGGTGCGAGGGATTGAAGGCCCAGCAAGACACCTTTCTTCACAGCCTCCCACCCAGCCCTGGGCCCCAGGTAACCTCCCTGCTGCCCAGGTAGCCCCATGTGTCTCTGCTGGTCCTGACTGTGCCCAGGCTGTGGGGGATGCCCTCTTCTTGGGGTGCCCTCTCGTCCTGGGCTGAGGTCTGAGCCCAGGGTGGTGGCCTGACCACCTTGTGGTCAGCTGTGTGAGGCCCACGTGTGCTCCGCCTGTGGTCCCTCGCCCGACCCTGCCTCCCTCCTTGTCCTCCGCATTTCTCCTGGAACTGCCATGCCTGGGCCCTGAGCCCAGTGCTAGGTGCTGGCTGTCCTTTGCTTGCCCTGTGGCCCATCCTCAGAGAGGGAGCCAGGGTAAGGGGCCTACAGCTCGGACGCCTTGAGGGTCTGCTCTCAGAACCAGACCGAGACCGCAGGATGTGGCTTTGAAGTGAGTATTTATTTAGAATGATAATGAATGGACAATTTAAAACAGCTGACCAAGATCCCGAATAGGGAACAAAGCAGGACTGCAGGTTGGCTTGTGACCACACAGCCCAGCAGGGAGGGCTCCCGGGCCCACTCTGGAGCTGGGGGCGGGGAGCCTTTCACCCCACCCCTGGCTGGGGCATGGCAGCTGCTCCAGTGACACCATGTGGGTCAGCAAGATGGCTTAGGCGTGGGGTCACTGCCGTGCCAGGCCTCTGGGTGAAGCTGTGGGGAGCTGAGACCAGGCCGGGGCAGAGGCCGGGAGGCCGGGGCTGTGGGCTGCAGAGTCTGCCCCTGCG